AGCAGCAGGCTTGTGATTGGTGGATGGTTATAAAGTTTGTGGTGGGATTTTATTTGCAAAGTTGTTGATAAAGGTCTCTGAGCTGATTATTGATTTTTTGGGGGATATTATTATTTCACATTTACGAGGCACCTCAACTACGTGGGGGGGGTAATATATTCCCCACACTTTTTGAGGTGGGGGTGCCTTGCCCAGCCATAGAAATTTGAAAAGCAGGGGGAGGGGACACCATATACACTATATAGAGAGCGATGTTCACGATAAAGATGTACATCGGTAGTGTGTATCAAATTCATGCAGAATCTCACATCAGAACGTCATATCATGACTTTTGTAATTGCGTCCCCCCCTTTTTAGTGATATTAAAACATTTTATTATTGGGAATACCTGAAACTTCTTCAAAATTTGTCTTAATACTTTTGCTCATCGCAAAAAGCAGGGGATGATTCAATAGCCCCACCTTTCCCCGACCCCCATCCCCCAAATTTCAAACACAGATTTACGATACTGCTTGAGTAACTTAGATGAATTTCGTGCATAGAATCCGTGTCATACTCACGTACTTGTGCATTCTTCAAATCGCCTGTTTTAATTTAGATGCCCAGCCATGTCCAGATGTTTAAATAAAATGGCGATTTGTAGAGTCCCAGTAACTTGGACTAGTAGTGATAGTAATTTTGAATAAACAACTTATCCTGTAGTTCATAATTAATTAAGTTATTATTTTTTCTCTCTCTCTTTCATCTCGTTTCATAAAAAGATTTACCTCCTGGAAAAAAGAGCGCTCCTCGAAAAAGACACCGGGAAGGACTCCTGGAAATAAATAACGATGACTGGTACACAAGGGCTGTGCACATTTCAAAATTCGAAATGGAAGGGAGGGGGGTACCCTTTAGGGTCTGGACTTGCTCCGTTGAGGCATATGACCCCCCCCCCCCAGCGGCGGCGGAACGAGTTTCAAAGTGGGGGGGGGAGTTGTTAGACCATCAGCCATCAGTCATTAATAGGCTGATCCATAAAGTTCCACCACATTATTGGCCCGAAAAAAGTGGGGGCATGACCTCCAGTTAAAAAAAGTAGGAGACCACTTGCCCCTCCCGCCTCCCCCCCCCCCGCGTCCGCCCCCATGCAGGGCCCCCATAACAACACAAAGTTTTAGGTGTACCTAAAAAAACACTTATTCGTCAGAACCCTACCTGGTTGAAATAGAAAGTTTTTTGTGAAGTTGCGCGCTCCATACGTTTCTCCTTGCAAAATCCTAACCCACAAGATTTTGAACAAAAGTTTTCGTACGGTTCAGTGATCACGTGTAGTTGGCGCGCGTTGTACATGTACAGTATGTTCGATATATGTACATGTACGTGTACGCGTACACTGCGCATGCGCTGCATAAAGTACCGATTGTACCATATACCGTTACTATACCGTACGGTACGCACGCACGCACGAGCATATTTTTTGGCTAGAGTTGTCACGCTTGGATGAGTTCAGAAAAGGACAACTCCTAGTTGATGTTTGTTCAACTCTCTCTCTGGGACCGGCCGAGGTTGTTTGTTTTTCAGTGTGATATTATATTAAGGCCTTTCCATGGTCTGCTACTGCACACCCCAGGATCTCCTTGGTGTAAATACACAATTTCTGGTGCAATTTTGAGTTGGGAACCATGATCATCTCACGGGTTTCGTTGTCGCCGCTTGTCGCCGTCTTTGTGGCACTCTTTTCGACAGTCGTATACTGCCAGAGCACCGCCTGTAAGTAGGAAATTATACTTGGACTTGCTTTTCACATTCAGCCGTACGTTTGCCGGCGATCCTTCCTTTTCGGACACGCTTACGCGTTAAAATTTTAATTGTTTGACTTTCAGCACCTTTTGAATTAATTTGAAACACGGGTGTGGATAAGCCCAAAACTACCTTTTAATTGTAGCCAACACCATGCCTACATACCTGTACATATACATGTAGGTCTAGTTGTCTTCCTGAATTCTACGTAACTGGACGATCGAGGAGTCATTTTCGGGGAGGATGTTGCTAGAACCATGCAAGAACTTAGAACTAACGTTAGGCTATTAACTTTACTGACATCATGAAATTTTCTGAGTCGGCAGTTCGGATACTGTGACGTGTTGTATCACAGGGTTGGTCCTCAAACCATGGAGGTAGAATTGCACCGATTTGCATAGGTTTGTTTTTGTCGGTCTCTGATTTTTTTAAATAATTTTTTGGGTTTTTTTTGTCTTGTTCTTTACTTTTTAGCGCTTGCGCTGTACTAATCACAACATAGGCCTACATGGTAATACCCTATGTCTGGTTGAATCTGAGCTCTCAAGTACAGTTTATTTGTAAGCATGGGTGACATCAGAGGTTGGGAATTTTTCTCTGATTATGAAGTTAGTTCAGCTGAGTTTTGGCAGTCGTTACTTTATATTGAAATGAGGAATATAGCATTGGTTACTAAAAAATGTAAATACCTGATTACCACCATGTTGAAAAAAACACACACGTTGAACTGTAAATAATTTTTATTTGAGAGAAAATGTTTAGACAAGCTTAAAATATTTCCCATACATTTTGTGCCTACAAGCCATGCCAACGATGTAACGTCTTTCTGAATAACGTGCTCGCTGTGTGATCTCCATTTCCTCATTTTAGGAATAAAAAGATGTTTAGGTAAGAATTCCAACATTGATAGTTTTTCCTTGCTGCAGCTTCTTAGTCCTCTGAAAGTGATAACATGCCATAAAAAGCCAAATTCAGCACGGAAAATATAAACACTTTGAATCAGAGTGTCGGGGATGTCTGTGGTATTCAGAAACTCTTTCAAGTGTCTAAATGAACAATATATAGTCAATGTAATCATATTAAAAGCAGAATATAAAGTCAATGGTACTTCTGTGTAGCACTACATGTATGGTACGTTTTTAACTGCAACAAAGATAATATTTTGAGTTAAATGCCATTTCATGTGTGCTGCCCTAATTTTTTGCTGGATTCTCAGATGTCTTTGTTGTTGTACTAAACGAGACACAAATGAGTTTATTTAACTAGGCCTATATCTTACCCTAATAACTATTTGTCCAGCAGATGTGACTTCATGAAAAGGCTACGGATTTACAAAACATGTTTCCTTCATTTTAAACAGTTGTTTAATAGTCCATGTGTTCAAAAATGCAGTTGGAAACTTGTCAAATGCAGGTTAGGTGCCCTTCCGTTATTTTTTCAACCACACCTATTTATTTTTATTTTAAACGCGCCATACATGTACCTTAAAACTTCACAAAAGCAGCCATGCAACACAAAGGAGCCATTCAAATGGTTGGTGATGGTGAACTTTTGTACAATGCTGAATAGACGCTATGCCCACTGTGGTGCCTTGGGTGCAAACTAGTCCTTTTCGGTTCAGTTCAGAATCTGAAAAGAAAAGAAATATGACTCTGTGTGGAAACTAAAAACTGGGAGTGGCGTTGAGCGTGTGTCATATTCATTGAACTGCTTACGTACATTGCAATGAGAATAATAATTTCACAACATTCGACTCAAAGAAATTAAAGTAGGGCTGTATAAACTGTTACTAGATATGAAAGAAAAAGAATCGTAATAAAAGTAACAGGATTTTTAATTCTTTAACAAAATTATTTCATCATAAATAGTAAAATTATTCAAGACTTGTCGAAATAAAAGAAAAGGAAAGTGCCATGATTTTGAAGCCGGCTATTCACATTTTACCTTTAACATAACTTAACTTCTAGCAAAATGATATAAGAATGTTTGTTTTAGTTGTGAGAAGTAACTGTACCAATAAACCAATCCACATTCAGCAAACTTCAACAAAACTGAATTATTCAAGAGAAATTAGCTCATAATAGCATTCAAACAAAGACTGAATATATTTTGTAATTAGTGAATTATGTTGGCTTATGTTGCTTAGGGTTTGTGTTCAAGGTTTGTATGTTTTTGTTATTTACTCCAAAGCTTATAACTTGACGCAGACATCGTACACAGTGCGGGAGGGTGACACCCATGTCATTATTGCAATAAACCGGAGGGGAAATATCAGTGTTCCCACAAGTATTTGTAAGTACCGTATTTCCATGAAATGTTTTTTTTTTCATAACGTTTCACATATTTACGTGTGAACTATCAGGGTTTTTTTTGGCAGTAATTCTTTGCATTTTTAATCTGTGGGAACAAAGTTTTCATTATGTATGTGCAAAGAAGTAGCGAGGTAGTTGCCACTGTTTGCCTCTTTTTATTTTGAACCCCACTCGTGGATTGACAACTTTTGAGATTGCCTCCCCATGTAATCCAGTCACTTTTAGCCACACTTGAAAACTCTGCATCCTCATAGATAACAATACTAAAAAAACCCCAAATTTTACTGGGGTCCTTATCATTAATTCACATTCCAATGGTTATGTCATAAATGATACATAGAAGTTGTTCAAATATATCCAGTTTGGACAAAAAGTGTGTGAGACTGAAAGTATGTCTTGAATGATGCTGGCTGTGAAAAACATGATATCGATGTTTATTTTGGATGTTATGGTGAACCAAATTGGCTTTTTGCCAACTTTGAAAAAAATCTTGACCAACTATATATAAAAAAGAATAAATGCTTCAAGCAGATATGCTTTTCTCGCCAGTGGTGACCACAGTGTCAGGCACTGCGATCAGTCCAGGAGACTTCACCCCACTTAACCAGCGGAGGGAATTCATAGAGAACTCCCTGGTGCTTACCGTCCGCATTGTTATCACCGATGACAACATTCAAGAAGGGGATGAATCCTTCCGGGTCCAGATATCCAACCCTTCGGACGGCGGCACCATTGGCTCTGGCTCCCAGGCAGAGATCACCATTCAGGACAATGATGGTACAACTTCACTAATATCTCTCGTCCCTCAAACTCTCCGTCTGTACATAAGGTCAACTCGATCACCAAACATTCCGTAGCCCACCATGTCTATGTCCCAGCATGCATCATTTTAACCCAAGATGAACTACAAATTTTTAACCTTACAGTCTACGTCAAACACCATCAAATATTTTCAAAACTGTGATAACGCAATAAAGTACATTATTTCTTAGGCTGAGCCCAAAGACCTGAGCTATGTCTTTGACTTTCATTTATTACTTCTAAAATGCACACCTCTTATTAAATCAAACAGCACTTTCAAAGCTTCAGCTTTACGGTCTTACTAGTTTTTCTCACTGGTTGGCCGAAGCCTTGAATTTGTGAATTCGGTTCATGTTAGAGGACTCTAAATGATTCTAAAATCAAAGTGGGCATGGAGGTGTTTTTTCAAAAGGGACCAGAGACAAATCAACTTTTGTTTTATGTAGAGGTGTCAATTCTAGCTTCTCTAAGAAGCAGTTGTACATGTCTTCCTTGAGACATCCTTGCAATCCTCTGTGAAAACCTGTGGATTTAATGAAGCACCCATTACTTGGTCGTATATCACCAATACGGTTTAATACTAATTAAAATTACTATGACTTTCCTTTGCAGCACAATTTAGCTTTGAGAGCAATTTATACCCGGCTGTCAGTGAGGCACAAAACAGCATCACGGTTGCTGTTGTTAGGAATGGATACTCTAACAGGGAAGCCAATGTCTGTGAGTAACCATCAGCTTGACCATCATCTTTTTTTTTTTTTTGAAAAAGAGAGGAATTTAAAATTGAGTTCAGTTGCTCTTCCATCCTTATCAAGGAAAAGATTTGTATTTGTACTGAATAACTGTTCTTACTGCCTAATTTTATTCTCTTTGTGCAGATGTTTCCACTATGAACCGTGACCCCAACAACCCTAACAGTGCAACACCGGATGGGGATTTTGTCCGTTTGGTTGAGACACGGTTGCAGTTTCTGCCCGGGGTGAACAGGGTTGAGGTACCTGTGACAATCCTGTCAGACCAAATTCCTGAGAACACAGAGACATTGGTCATGCAGATAGTGCGAGTGGTAGATGGGCTAGTTGGGTCCCCCTCCAGAGCAACGCTCTCCATTTCTGACGACGATGGTGAGTTTCAATCATTTTACACAGTCATGCTAAAACAAACTAAATGAAGGAGCATTAATCTGACCATAGAGAACAGGTCCTCGATTCCAGTCAGCAGAAATCCAGAAGTTATTTTTGCCTAAACTTGGTCATTCTGTTTTGTTTTTTCAACAGTACAATATGAGATTCTGGAGGAATCCTATTCGGTGAAGGAAAGCACAGGTTTGACCCAGATTACCGTCACAATCACCAAGAAATTTAACCTACTGGAAGCCAGCTCAATTCGTAAGATACTGATTTTCACAGCCATGTTAATTCGGAGTTATCCAGAGCTAAGTGTAAGAGATGCCTTGTCCAGCCTCCCCCTGAAAAAGCCCAAATACACAAACTATTCTAATCTGCGACTCCCTTCCTCATCCTACCCAACGTATTATTTTTCCCAAACCACTTTGATATTTCGAATACCTTTTGTATTTTTCTCAATTTCCCAAGTTATAGTTTTAAATAAATACTCCTGAATGTATATTGCATGGTATATGGATGGAGTTTATTCTTATTAATTGTGTGTTAGCTAGTCTTTGAAAATAAATATCTTTAAATTTCGCATCAGTGTACATGTATGAGGTGTGTACATGTACCTTAATGCCAATGGTGAAGCCAAAATTACTCAATACAAGGTTTCCATTAGGCGTACCGTAATAGGATGTGTGTCATTTCATGAAGACAGTGACAAATTTTACCATTTGGGTATGTTTTGGTTGCTATTTGTAGAGGTGTACACAGAGGATGGAACAGCCACGGCAGCAGGCCGAGACTACGCCACATTCTTCAGCAGGGTGGGTTTTGCCATGAACCAGGCCAGTGCCACTGCCATCATTAACATCCTGGATGATAATGTGTACGAGCCCGTACCCGAGGTCTTCTACGTGGGTATTCGTGACCCCCAGCCCAGCGGCTTTGTGCTGACCAGTGCCAGTCGGAGGCCTATTACCATTGAAGACAACGAGTGTAAGTCCTGTCCGTATCAGCAGGCTGTGGCTGGGAGTGACTGCACAAGCCTATGGGAAGTAGCCGCTAGCCAGTGGTTTTCATAGCCGCAAGCCTCATTTCCAGTCACAGGCCAGTAATTTCACTTAAAGACAGCCTGTATTTGGCAAAGTAGAATGATCGATCAGCTTCCTTTTTAACACAACAAAGTGCTTCTGCATCTTACTGAAAATATTCCGTTAATGGTAAATTTAATTGCCCTGAAGGCTGATTTGCACGGAGACAAAGGGAAATTTGTTGCAATCTTCCCGGCAACATTGATCTGAGCCCTCCATTGAAGCAGTCTTTCTTTTTTCCAAGGAGTGGTTTCAGTATCAGTGACTGATGTGACATCCGAACTCATATTATAAATTTGTGCTTATAGTTTTGAACCGACGTTAGCTCAGCCTGAACCTATAATGTTCTTAATCTTTTCCATTCATCAGCCATTCTGTCAATCGTGAACTCTACATACACTGTCAGCGAATCTGACAGATCTGTCACTGTTCAGGTTCGACGGACAGGGGATTTGTCTCAGCAAAGTAGCGTGCGTAAGTACTCCTGCTTTGGTATCAGTTTTTAAGCATTTATTTTAAGCATACTTACAGAGTATTTGCATCAACGTTAGAGTGACTTAAGCTACGAATTGAAACTTAATGTGAGAGCTCGGCTAGCCAATGCCATTTTTGTACTCGTGTTTCAGTCAAGTCCATAACAAGTAAAATCCATAATTCACAAACCAAGTGCATGTAACAGCATAATGGTAGCTTGGGATTTGGTAGATACCTTCAATAAGATTAATTGAATTTTTTTGTCAATCTCAGACGGCACTTGAACAAACTGTGTTTCCCCCCTCTGTCAGGTGCGAGGTCAGTCGCTGTCAGTGCCACCGCCGACCAGGACTACACACCCTTTGACCTGGAGCTGATGTTCCCTGTCAACCGGCAGGGTGTAGACCTCAGGATTGCCATCAACGAGGATGACGTCACCGGAGAAGGAGATGAAGTCTTCATTGTGGAGCTCTACAACGCTGCAGTCAGTGTATTGGACGCTGAGGCTTCGTCTGCAAGAATCACCATCCAGGACAGCCCGCGTGAGATATTTCACACTGTCTATGTCTTGTAATCCTCAGATTCATCTATCAGTTTCTGCAGGCTGTCAATATCAAAATTCGTCAGCGACCAAACAGTCTTCAGTTCTCTTATCCCTTGAGAGAACTGAAGACTGTTTGGTCGCCTTGGGGATAAGAGTGATATACATAGATAAATAACTAAAAGAGACCTGTATGGAAGATGGTGCCTTGAAGATACATGATTTGAGATCAAACGTGAAATGTTATTAGAAAATGCTGGAAAAAGTCCTGCAGTTGCAAGAAGAAAGAAGTTGTGAAACAAGTGTCGAGCAGACTAGCAGACTATAACTGGATTCATCTTGGTCCCTTCCAGGGCTCAGCACACTGGCGATTGTCCTGATAGCTGTTGGCTGTTCCATCTTTGTAATCCTCATTCTGATTATGATTCTCTGCTGTTGTGCTTTCATGAGACCCAACGAACCCAAAGGTAAACTCTAAGCCAACTACATGCACACTCTTCCACGTGCACTTTATCTTGCTCGTTCTTGTTCGAAAATGTAATTTTGGGAAAGAATACTCACCTGCAATCATTTGCAAAAGTTTAAGACCACCTGGAAATGCGTTGATATTTGTGTTACTGGTTCAGCATTATGTTGTCTCATTGAATGATTACATAAGATGCTTTTGCAGTAGTCCATAACATCAGAGTCATGCTATGATGAGCCCATTACAGTGAGTTTTTTTGCAAAGGCAGGTCTTGTATGACATTTTGTCTGTAGTGCGGCGTGGGTTAAAAAGTCATTCTAAGTCGTCAGAAACAGAGGAGGGCTCACTAAATGTAAGACTGTAAAAATTTCAAATCACAAAATGAAGTCAAATATTTGTTTAACCAAGATGTTAAGGTTATGCATGGAAAATGAACATAAGTGGTTAATACATTATTTTTTAAGTTTGGTCCTGAACCTTTGCAAATGACTGTACGTACTAGTAGGCAGGTCTTATAGACCATAAATGTAATTCCACCTTGATGTAACGGTAGATAATGCAATGAGAGCTTTTCAACTTTTCAAGCTGACCAGAAATGAGGGGAGAGCCAGTATCTCAAGTGAACTGCTTTAATTGCTTGACATTTTAACTGAACTGTTTGGGCTAAGCATATTTATTTCTGTGCTTATTTTTGGAGCTTACTCACTCTGTCAAGCTTTTTTAGATACTCATGTGATGTTAATATAATTTGATATTGAATCCTACGTCCTGTTTAGCACACTTAAAAATAACGTATAGACATTTAACACTGAGATAACTCAGAAAGTTATAACCAACTGTACATCATTTGGCACAGGTGCCATCCTATCCAGTTCCGCCCACCTCTTTCCGATAACTTTCCAATTTAGACAACTTGTCTGGGCAAAAATGATTTTCGAAAGCTCTCTCGGCAAGCACAACAGAAATGCAATTAATGTTCAGTATACAGTGTATGCGTTTCATTCGTTTCACCGTTGTTGAAAGTTACCAGTGATGTGTCCTTGATTGATTGTTTGAACCGTCAGAGCCATTTAGCTACGACCGAGGGCTTCGTGGTGCCCCAGTGCTGGATATCCCAAGGGAAGCGTTAGGCCGCGGACCAGTGGTCACTTACTATCCAGATGATTTGGATGACCGAGGCCGTTATCGCTTGGACAGGCCATCCCGTCGCAGTGACAGGCGCAACAACGGTTCCGTCGTCCAAAACGTACGTAGGTAGTCAAGATTGAGAGGATTCGACTGAAAAAAAGGAAGAGATACACAGATCTCGTGTTTGTAATATCTCTTGCTGTTGCTTCATGCTGTTGATTGGTTTGTTTCAAAATAATTTTGTTTTCATTAGGGAGGCCCACGTATAACCGAGATAGATGAAATCGAGCAGGAGCCTCGTCGGGAATCAAACCGACATGCATCCAGTGATCAGCCCCCTCCACCACCCCCTCCCGCCGAGGTAGGTCCACCCACAGATAATCAACAGATCTCCTCCCCTGCACTCAACCTGATCAGTTCGGATCAGCTTGAGTGCTTTTGTGAGTGGCTGCCGCGTAGGTCCTGTAATTGGCTTTGTAAGTCATACTTTGTTCAGATAAAGGAAGTGTGCTTTTGGCAATGAGATCAAGAGCTGTGTTCCAAATACCCATGTAACTTGATGATTCTGTAGGATCTACATAATTGCAATGCAGTGATACAATTCGTAAAGTTGAATTGCTACTCTGTGACAAGTTATTTGTGAATGATGATGCAAGGCTCTTTCAGGGAGAACTGTTTCCGTCCTTCCAAATTTTCATCAGTTTATTATCTGGTTTTGCTTTCAGGAACGTCTGCCTGAAGGAAGAGAACCTGAGGTATTTATTGATTTCAAATTCTTTCTAATTCACCTGTTTGTTGCCCCTGTAACAAAGGCTCACAGACAAGCACAAACTGTCCGGATTGTTGACAAGCTCTTTCTGTGCACATTAACCCTAACTCCCCCGAGTGATTTACTAGGAACCGTACCCATTCACACAAATTCCAACACCAGATGGTAAACTGTGCACAAAGACTGTTGGGCTCTGTTTATTTTGGGTATGCCTGAACACATGTTAAAGCACAAGCAGTTTAGGGGTACAGTACCCAGTGCCACAAATTCGCACACTTTACCGGTGTTCAATTCTGTGTGGTTAGGGAAGGTTAGGGTTAAAGTGTTTCGTGAGAGAACACCTTGCTGTAAGTTTTAGTACCTAGCAATGATTGATCAACCTGATGAACTGTGACAGACCAGTAAATTGTACTATTTGTTTTCCCTTTTTTTGTTTTGTGTAAATGCAGGATCGTTTTGATGAACCCTCCGACCCCCGCCGCAGCCGCTCCATGTTCAACCCAAGGGCTGAAAGAGAACCTTACTGGGGAAAGGTAGGTGCATCATAGGAACTCATGATACCTGCACATTTTAGGGAGGGGGGGGGCCGGGGTTCCAAATGATCTTATTTCCCCAACAACTGAAAATCCATGGTTTGAAGTATGGGTCCGCACACACACATCTGTGTAGGACATTGACAAGCTGTCACTTAATTTCCCTGAGATTTTACAAACATCTAAGTTGTCAATTTGGGCAAGTAAGGGGTGAGATTTGTAAGAGTGCAACCTATTGATCAATCAAGGCACCAAGAAAAGGCTATTAGACTAGATAATGTCATCCAATGTATTCGGTGTTCAAAATGTGAGCTTTTCCCCAACCAAATTCAACAATTGTTGACACGAGTTGTGCACTGTATTGTACAACGTGGCTCAACTGGTTTTAGTTTCACTGGCTAAATCATTTACTTTGATTTTGTTTTTCCTGTCCAGGCCCGTCAATCCTACCACTCTTCGCCGAACCATTACGGATATTTCTGATCTCATTTATCTGTCTGTGGGTGTACAACTTGGATAGGCCTGTTATCTTGAATTGTTAGATATTGGCATCAACCAATTTCATTTGGGGGGGGGGCCTGGGGAGGATTATAAGGCACTTTCAAAGGAAGAATATTTGTATCGAGATGTACCAAGATGGAGGAGTAAATGAAGAAAGCTGGAAAGAAGTGAAATTATTGTATAGTTGAGGTTCAAAGAATCTCAATGTGTAGTAGTTAACGTTATGGTGTGTGAAGGGGTCAAGGTTCATAGACCTTCTAACTTTCCCCTTCCCCCTCAAGTCCCCTTGGGCTAAATTTTGATCGTGATCGTGGAGATTGCTAGCCTCGATAACACGATGATAAATTTTACTTTACACGTGCTGTTTGCAAAATGGCAGCTACTTTCTGCGAGGTCTTTAGATGCAGTTCACGTCGTTTCCCCCCGCTTGTGTCAAAAGTGTGTTGATTGTTACATAAGCGTGTCACAAATTGGCAAGAAGACTTTGAATTGTCATAAAATGAAAGCAGAGGTAGGATAACTGAGAAGCAAATGAGGAATTTGCCAAGTTAAATCTTGATTGTGTTCCATCTGTTCATGGTAACCTAGGGAGTAAGGTGGTCTTGGGTATGCCGCTGGTATAGGCCTGATGGTCAGGGGTAACAATGATACAGTATTTTGAGCATCATTCTACGTACTAGATGATGTCCATTGTATATTCTGATCTTGACTTGACTATGTACATTTTCATCTTAAGAGAACTCGTCACCTGTTTACATATTACTCATTCTTTGTTTTAATACAACAAAATTGATAACTTGCTCGTAAATTTCATAGAGAATTAGTCTGTTTTATTCCACACTATATATTCAGGACAATTTGCTTTATTTTGTTTCTTCCACTGCTAATGAGCCCAGGCCATCATGTGCTGCAATTTGCCAGTGTCAGTGAAATATGAGAAACTAAGGGTTAATGATGGTCGGTTTGACCCCTGACACTTTTAAGGATTATGTGTAGTTCCAAATGCGGAAAGTTTGACTTGGAAACACAGTTTTTAAACTTGATTAAAAAATGATATAAACATTAATTATAGCAACAAAATTATGGTCACTTAGTAATTATTTTATGCATTTGGGGAAGCGTATGGTAATCAAGAATTTACAGATTTTTATTTATTGGGTTCTGTTTTATCTGCTATATATTTGTGTATACTGTTACCTATTTTATAATCATCTTTAAAAGCTGGGAAATAAAGCTGTGTTTAATGTCTTACGTATGTGTTTAATGTTTTAAGTATTACACTTTCTTTTTGACTGCTCAATAAATCCAGCCCAAGTTTTCTTCCCGTTTTCAGTATGCACCATAGAACGAAGTCAACATGTGTATAATATAAAATTATTTTTGTTGAATCAAAAGGATTTGAATTTATCAAAAACATATTTTTTCTAAGTTAATCAACATTTTACATTTGTTCTTGTCATGCTGATAAAAAAAGATTGAAACGGTACTTGCCGAATTTGCAAGTTTAGGACTTTCTGTAGCCACACCCTTCCTGACTAGAAACAGGCGGGTGAGGGCGCTCGGATGGGCCAAGAACGTAAACTGAATGATGTCATATGCTGTACTCGTAACAAAAACAAAAACATGTTGATGAGTGGGTGAGGGACTGAGGAAGCGATCTGAAAAGGTAAGTTTCTTGGCTTTTTTACTGGAGAATCGTTCTCATTCTAAGACAAAGGTATCATAGAAGCTCTCAGGAACGACCTTGGTAGGTTTTTCTTTGGAATACTGGCGAGTGTATGTGGCATGTGAGCTGCAAATCTCCGAAATTGCCCAGTTTTTGTCCTGGCTGTCTTCTCACGTCACATCGGCTATCGCCCGTTTGTCATTCGTGCACTGCGTTTGCGAGTTCCGGGAACGACACTGGCAGAAAATTGAGTCTGAGGAATTAAGCAAATGAATTGCATTATTTTCGTTGACTTTATGCTTTTTACTGAGTCAGCTTTCTGAGGTAATTAAGTAACAAAATTGAGGAACTGTAGCTTTTGGTTGATTATTATTCCTGATGTTTTTGGTAGGCCTTTGCAACAAAAATGGGAGTTTCGACTTCAGTGCCTTCCCCCGGCCCTCCCAATCTGCTCATAGAATCATTCAATTGATCTTAAGAAAGTAAGTCTAGGAAATAAATATAAACAAGGAACATTGTGATATTCCTGGATGACATGTACCCCTAAAAGTATGTGAATGGGACTCCTTGCTCTGCCTTTTGCGGAGGTACTTCGGAGCAAGGAGCCCCCCAAAATCTTGGGTTACGTAGATGTTATGCCTGCTTTGCTTCAGTAACCCCAAGTAACATTCCTTTCCTTTAATTATTTTTCCCAAAAGTTTGCATGTAGAGTAGCATAAAATGTAATGAAAAGTTTTGTTACGCTCCTTTTGCAGGATGAAAGGACATGGACTGTTGAGATTACTTGTCAGTGATGGCAGGCTCATAGGCCTAGCGTTAGCTTTTTGTTCTTGAGGTGACGTCTGCAGATTATCGATCATGCATTCAGCCAGTCCGTGGGTCCTTGCCATCACTATTTTACTTGGTAGTCAAGTAGGCCTTTCCGTGGGAATATGTAAACGTAAGTTTGTTGTCCAACTTCAAAACAAACACAGACTTGGCTCTTTTAGGGCCTCAGTTTCACTAAGGCAAACAAAACAAAGTTTTTAGTACTCCTGTATCAAATTTAATATAGTTTGTGGTGCAAGTTATTTATCAGCATTGACCTTTTACGTGAGACTTTTAAATTTTGGAAGAAAAACTCTGCAGCAGGGATCATGGGGGACATGTATGGTCTTGAAATGCTTTCAGCGTTGTTTGACGAAGGAGTTATGCGCACACTTTGACTAGCTAACACTCATTTTGATTTCAGCTGACTTTCCGGACCGTCAGTTGAAGCCGATGTTTGTTCAGCCAAAAAGTGATAGATTGGAGCTCCTCCCTGGCAATAGCGCTTCATTAATATGTGAGGTAGACCGCCTTGTCGATCCAGAGGTAAATTGTAAGGGTTGAAGCCTGTATAGAGTTATATAATTAGTCGCAAAAGAGGTTTTATGTTTGCTGCAGTACTTTAAGTTTGCCCACTGCAAATGATTTCTCATTCTAGGTTTACATATCCAGTTTTGGGAGTTAAATTTCTGTCATGCTCTGCATGCATTTCACGTGTTTTATCAAGTGCACACCACTTGTGCAGTGCACCTCTCAAGTCCTGTTCATGGGTTTGCGTCCCTCCCCCTTCCCAATTGCTACAGAATCCGCCCACTGCGGGACTCCTCATCTGGTGGTGCAACTCTACATACCCGATCTGCCACCAGCAAGCGCAGTCGTTGAGCACTTTCGACCCCAAATTTCTCAGTGGGGTCCAGAGTGCCGCCATCAACGCATCCCATCTCCGCTCCGAGTTCAATCTGACCAATGTGGTACCGAGCCAGGCTGATCTCTATTACTGTGTAGCCTACACCCAAGATGAGTCTTCATCAAAGTGCCCTGGAAGTGTGGTCGTGGACATCGTTATTAAAGGTGTGCTGTCTTCAGCTGGTCACCTTATGATTTCTGGCTTCTCACAGTTAAGCTTGCCTGTGTAACCATTTTCAATTGTTTAGTCTGTGTCTGTCTGAATGTTATCAACCTGATCCTTTCCCATATCCTTCAAGATTCACCGAGGAGACTTGTGGAAGATTTGCCAATGCCAAATTGAGGTGGCAAGAGCAAAGCAGCCGTTGACTCATGTGAAATTTGCTGCCTGTCTTCTTGTCTCATGTTTTGCAGATGAATCCAAGCCAAAAATTATAAGCCACTCTTCAGGGATCAGTGTATCCGAAGGAAGCCCCTTCAATCTGACCTGCACTGCCGAGGGCTACCCCACCCCGATGTTCACCTGGACAAAGGATGGCGAGCCCATTCTAGGTGGTGTGGACGGCGTTTTCAAGAAGGACAAGGCAAATGTGAGCGACAAGGGGACGTACCAGTGCAGGGCAGTGAACAAGTTTGAGTCGTCGGAGTGGTCCCCAGATATCAGAGTGAAGGTTAACGGCAAGGAAGCGGACGGACGTGAGTGAATCCTTCATTCTTGCAGATCCTCCAAGATTCGCAAGGTTTTTTTCTAGGATTTGGCACTGTCGCTTCATGTAGGTTTTAATGGCCATAGAGAGACAAAGGCAAAGCGAAAGATAATAACATTGATAGGACTCGGCAAGATTCCTGGCAAAAAATGCATTGGAAGTCAGTTTTGAGTATCCAAAATAGGTTTGCTTGATCGTTTCACAGGACGCCGTTTTGACCAAACATGACTGTAGCATGGGCTATGTAGTGAAGAGATGGCAGAATGCTCGTAGGTCCAGTGACCTGTTTTATATGACATCGTATTGTATCCCGTTTCAAACGGAAAATCACAGAAAAACCTGCAACAGTTCCTTGTCTCGTCACTGTAGTTGTAGCATAGAAAAATTTGACATCTGATGAAATGAATGAGGGTTGGTTGTTTTTCCTCGACAGTTTCCAAGGTCAAGCAGGCCCTACTGATCACTGCTGTAGTCGTCTTTGCCATACTTCTCGTCATCGTCATTGTTCGGATATTGAGTGAGTGTCTTTTCCACCGCTCAAGAGAGGACTATCTTTTGTTGAAATCCTGAGTGCCAGTTGACAAGCTGGTCACACACTTCTGAGACTAAAACTGAAGAAAGTTCAAAATGAGGAACTTGTCTTTTGGTTTATTTGTTGCGTGTTGGTTTTGTAAAGGATGATTTAAAAATGAGCATCCATCCTGAATTATAGGGATTTGGGTACAAGCTACCAGTCATCTGAAAGCTATCAGAGTGGACAGATGAATTGTTCGAGTTTCTCTGTTATGATCGCTATGATTGGAACCACTTCCCGCTGGGTGGAATTTGCATATGCCGGACAAGTTCCCGAGTGATTTGTAAGATTTTCCGTTTTCAAAATTCCTCAAAAATTCATAACTTCAGTTGCTGGACATTTACACTCACACAAATGACTATCTGGTGGCTATTCTAATCTGACAGGCAATCTCCATTGACGCCCAAGTATTGCAGCCAAGCCTGTTGCCCAGTAAAGAGAGCCCAAATTGTGCAGTGTTGCGTAATTTTCGTTGTTCCCGAAATTGACCCAGTGCGTTGCTGAATGGCAGTGGTGTCTTTTTCAAATGTGACCAGATTAGCTTGCAGTGATACTGTATCGCTCATTGCTGGAGTGCGTGAGCACTTCTGTCCCCGCTGATGCGCTTATACTGAATGCCGCACCGGCATACTGTTTCAAAACAATAACGGATTACCTCCGCTAATGCCAGCTGCAAAATGATGGCTAATCCCAGCAGCTTGGTCTTTTGTTCCAAGGCCCAGCTCCTTTGTCCGATTTCGGGCACCTCGGCTATGCATACAAACCCAAGGTACCCAGTACCGGGAACCCTGGAGGCAAATGTTTAAGCTAAGCTGTGAGTAGTAAAAGTGTTTCTTTACATTAAATGAACCACTGTCCATGTTTTCAGAGTAGGACAGTTCAGTAGTCTTCTGTGTATATTACCTTGAGCGTTTCAGAAATAGGGATGCATATTTACTTGAACTGTGATGTACTGTGATTTTTTTTAAGGAGAGCTAGAGGGAGATTAAATCTATGTATTTTGTTAGTGGAAGGAGAGGCACTGGTCAAATGTCAGTTTTCTTATTTGGCCTTAATCTCTCCCTTTCCTTGTTTGATTTCAGAATTACGATCAAATGGGCACATGACGTGCTTCCACTTCGAGAGGACAACCATCCGTGGCAACAACTCCAAGGTCATCAAGGCGGATACTGTCCACGTGCACAGCGATCGCCGCGGGAGCCGTCTGTCCCGAGGAGATTGTTAGTATGATTCCCGATAAACAATTGACCGTTGAGCCATGGGGGCTTTTCTGGGACAAGTCTGTTTAACACTCCCAGTGGAAATAGGCTTTGAAGGATTATACTTTCCTCACAAGTTCATCCCGTTCAGACTTTAAGCTCTTGCTGAAATTCAACCCCTTTTTCAATCGTTTTAAGCTGGTTTTGCCCAAATAATTTCATATGTGGAGATCAATTATAAAACTAAAGCATACAGAAGGGACAAATGTCAGGTTTCATGTAGGATCAATTCATTTATTCAACTGGGAATCTTATTTGTTCAGAATTTATTGACGATACTGAGGATCCTTCTCCAAACGGAATCATGTTTTTGTCTTGTGTATGTTCTGAGATAATCCCTGACCTAATGTAGCCTATTCTGTGATTGGCCCTTGTTGAATAAGCACGCACTGAGTAACATATGGGTCCCATTTCACGGAGTTGATTAGCAATGGAAAGCAGATTGCCGGCCAGAGCATTATGCAGTATGTATTGCATGTAACTGGTACTCGGCTAATATCTTTCGCACAAAATCTGTTTAGCTGGGTTTCCTGCCTACAGCTCTTGAAATGGGGCCGTGAAGCGGCAACTGATTTGCACTGGTTGCCGTTTCTAATTTTTAGAGAGATGAGCTGGCTTTACTTCGTTTCTAATAACTTACTTCTAATGACCTGATGTGCTTGCCAATTTGACCTAAACGTTACGTGCTGATCAGAGCTTCAAATGACAGTAGTCCTTGAACTTACGACAGTATTGTTTCCTTTCTTCCTCTCCTATCCTACCTCGCTTTCTTTGGAAATGAAAATATTTTGTTTGCTTGCTGCTTTCCCTTGATATTCTTCCTGCTGTGCCGATTTGTTTTGAATTCAATTCTTAAATGCTACCGTTTCTCTGTTCACTGTTAAATTCTTCACCTGTGCTCCAAATCGCCAAGCATCTTCATTCCTCCCTCTCGCTTTGTCTGTTGCTTGTCACCGTTGCATCATGCATGTCAATACCCACAACCGTACTGTCATGCCTCCGTTACCAACACAGCCTCGCATGAACGCCAGACATTTCTGCATGACGTATTCATTCACAACCACAGCTCCGACAACCAGTTTGCTCACATGATCCGTGCCAAGCTCCAGAACCAGGAGTCTCACCTGAAGGTGGGCCTGTGGTCCGAGGTAGAGCGGCCCGACCGATCGTCCAGCCGCAACAAGCTCCTGCGCCTACGCCTCCTCAACTGCACCCGCATCGTCATTGTGGTGTCGGAGGCCTACCTCAAGCACGACTACCATGCCCTGACCAGTGCCCTGGCCAAGAGCCGGGCGGCACCCGAGTCCCTGCGGAGCAAGATCATCATAGTGCGGGTGCTTGAGGAGAGCAAGCTCCCTAAGGATTTGGCTAAGGACGTCATGGCATCAATGGAGTACAACGTCGACACGGACAGCTGTTACTTCTGGCCCAGGTTCCTGAAGGTTGCCATGCCTGATCAGAAAGAGATTCTGTACTGGGTGTAATCAACGGCGGATGAGAGACACACCTTTTAAGTAGGGCAATCACTGGCTTTTCAAAGCCAAGGCGAGGGCAGTTGCCGAATGCATTGATCAGCCCTCTCTTCTGAACCACCAGATCGCCAATTTGTACATTCACACCGACATGTATACTGATTTTCTTTTGTGGAAAGTTTCAGACAACCCATTTTCACCAGTAATTGCAGTTATTGTTTGACGCTTCCGTATGCAACATCATACACATGCCATTGTAATTTGTACACTTTCACTAGCAAGGTCTACCTTGTTGTAATAAGCATTATGTTGAACTCTTAGAACCATGGCTGGCCCTTAAGCCTTGTTTGAGGGGAGGTGTCTGGGAAAATTAATATGTATTGTTACTTTTATATTTTATGCTGTGTTCAAGATAACTTTATCTTCAAGTATTACTGATTTCTTTTACCCAGGTGTTTCCTTCTTTAATGAGTGTAATTATGTTTGTTTGGCAGTGGGTTAGAAACCCAAAGGTACAGTTCATTTTCATCAAAAGGTAAAGGAAACCATGTCCATACATGCTGTAAAGTGTGTTCATTTATTAATTACAAAAATTAAATTTCAAGATGTGTATTGCTGAACTGCCTGTAGATAATGACCTTCGACTAGTTTTAGCAAGGACGGATCCAGAACGAAATTTTCAGGGGGGCCAAAACTTATTTTGGGAGCCACAAAATTTGAAAATTGTTTAGTGTCACCTTTTTGAGGGCTGAGACTATTCTGGGATCTTTTTACAAAGATCCTAGAATAGTCTCAGTGATAACTTTTGTTGTACATCTAATGGAAGTACCACATCGAATAGTTAGCTGAAAGCATTGAGAAGTACTTCTGTGGTATGCCATCAAGGAACTTCTGAATCCTTGCCATCTTTTGTTCCTGCTTTGGAAATTTGGTATATCAGAAATAGCTGTAGTTTGGTCTTTTAACTCCGTTTGCTGCTATTAGTCATCATTTATCCATTAGAGATGTGTTAGTTACATTTGTATATAGTTTTGCCAGAGAGCGTTCGACGTGTAAATTTTTGGTGCTGGTTATTGAATTGTTTGGTGTACGTTTGCTGTATTGTTCATCCTTGCTGAATACATGTAGTCCATCCACCGAATGAACACTGCACAGGAAGCCGATGGCACATTCTTTGTACCTGAAACTTTGCAAGGTGTATTGACCTGTGGCTGAGCTCATAGCTTTGTCAACCCTGCCAAGCCGTTCTATGTCCCTTGGTCTATTACGAATGAACTGGAATTTATAGGGTTAAAAGATATTTAAAATTGTACACTGTTGTGCTTTTGTGTTGGTACGTCCTTGATTGCTTGATATTTATGTTAGAAGTCTGTATAGAACACCATTTTTTTCTTGTGCAGTTTTACGCAAGTGCATTTTAAGCATTGGTTCACTAAATGTATATGTACGTGTATAGATTGTAACAGGGCACTGCCCGTCAAGTTGTACTGACTTCTAGCCAAATTTAGTAAAGAATTTATCAAGGATTGTATTTTATACAAGGAAAATTGTGAGGATATATAATTTTCGAACAAGTGATGTGAAAAGAAAAGTGCCTGAAATATTCCAGAATTATACCGTTTCCAGCCTCGTGAGCCATTTGGTTGTTTGGCTTTTTACGAATTTGGCGTGAAGCTGCTGCCAGGGTTTGGAGAAAGTGACTGTGGCATTGCCCACGGTAAATTTTTTTTTAAATTTTTTTTCAAAACGGTGACTTTTGTAAAGTTTATACTTGCGCCTGTAGGCTGGTAGACTACAGAAATGTGAGAGGTTGAATTGTGAACCCTTTTTACACCTGAATTAAAATGAAAATTGGATGTGGCGAGCTTTCGATCAGGGTACAGCCATCAGCCGTTGACGACTTGGCTAGATTCACAGATTAGGTGTCAATATTGGAAAACCAGCATTACGAACCTGATGACTGACATGTACCTTGAAATCAGATAACTTAAACGGTGACAGGCAGCTGGATGAAAACATTTGAGTACTTCAATTTTTGAAGTGTTAGTTTGGCCAAGACCTGAAACTTGCCGATTGATTTCATGCGCTATGAGAGGGATCAGTGCATGTATGTGTATTTTGCCAACACAAATTATATACTCTGATATGCTTTTACTACCGAAGTACGTGCATGTTACAAATGTACTCAATTATGGTGTACAAAATCTGTATCTAATTTTGCAGCAGAAAAGATCATTAAAAGTAGTCAGTTGAATAAGGCACTTGCTGATTTTATTTCTTGTGAGTTGACCCTTTTTGTGGGCCACTTCATAAACACACCAATGTGCCTCTTGTATTGCTGGCTTGTAGAGTGGTCACAGTTTGCCATCAGTAACAGCTGGACTATTGTGTGCATTAACCCTAACCCCCTGGGCCTTTTTACTAGGAACCATCCTCAATCCTCCGAAATACTTAGAATTTCGACATGAAAAAATTGCATTCAGCCTCAATCCTCCAAAATTTCTTGAAAATGTTTTTTTTTTTAGGTCTGCCTGCTACCTCAATCCTTCAAAATCCTCCAGCAATTCCTGTCATTATGTTGAGGCAGTGCGATTGATTCAAAAGAAATATCAGGTTCAATTTGTGCTTGACTAAGCAAAACCAACACAAGGTCTAATCTACAACCTTTCACGCATGGCATCCTTCGCAATCAGCCATGCACTTTTGCCATTCACCCTAATTCCTCCAAAACCGCCCAAAGTATTTTGGAGGATTGAGGAGGGTTAGGGTTAATAAATTGGAGAGGTGTTGATGTTAAGTCTTGAAACTTTCGTGTTGCATTAATGCTGCAACTTGCACCTTGATAACCAAGAACCCTACTGGGGTTTCTGCACAGCCTAGGGGTTATACTTGGAATAGAATTTTATAGTCAGCTGATGGTACAAAATTTTATACAAACAGAGAACTCCAAAGAAAATGGACGTGCAGTAAGCCAGTCATTACTTATCTATTTCCTTGCATCTTTATTAACAACCTTAATGACTTCATCTCTAACTCTGGGACAGCAGGCTCTTTGAACGGCTTGATGGACACATCTTCAAACACGAGAGGGGTACAACATCTGAGTGAGGGAAAGAAGACGGCAAAAAATGTCGAAGTTAACTCAACATTGTCTGTTAGTGCCAAAGCCTCCACTTTACAGATCGTCTTGTGCCCTTGCTCAGAAACAGCCTCTAGTTTGGCAGTCAGTGTGTCGGTGACACCATCAGTTCTGGTCTAGATTGGTTGTCATCACAGCAAGGACATTTAGATCACAGTCTACAAAACTTAACTGGCTAAACATTAGAGTTACCCCTAGACCTACTCATCAGGTGCACTGGTGAAAAGGTTGAATGGCCAGTGGTGGTGATGTCATGGGAAGAATTCCATACACGAACATCAATATTTTCCCTCCAGTGACATATCTGCCACTAGAAAGCAATAACATGTACTTCAAAGACAAATTTAGCAGGGAATATAGCAGGGTTCCTGCGCTTAAAGGACGATTATTAAATTCCATGACTTTTCCATGACCAAATTATAAAATTCCATGACCCGGTAACGCAATTTTCGGACTATTCGGGCTTTTAAAATTGCAAATAAAATCACGCATTTTATGCACTTACTTCTGATAATAAAAATCACACAGTGTTTGAAAAATTCCATAACTTTCCATGACTAGTCTTTTTTACAAAATTCTATGACTTTTCCAGGTCGCGGGAACCCTGATACAGTGAAGCATACACTTAGAAAACACAATGTTTCAGAAGTGTCTCATAAGGTTTGTGATCAGGGTGTCAAGTGATGTCAAACTATGGAACTCTTTCCGCAGTAACTAATGCCTTGTACACCACTGGCCTCTCTGTTGAGCGTGATGGCTAGCATAATCCATAACAGGCATATGCAATTTGAGAAGCTTTGCGAGGTGAAGACCACACAACTGAAAATGATCTGTAGATGGACCATGCTTCAGACTGTTAAGAAGAGTCTGGTTATTTGGCACAGATAGTCAATGGAAATATTGACCATCGCATCAAGAGAATGCCCGGTCTCTATGGAGGGGACTCGGGTGGGAGATGGGTCAGTTAACCTCAGACTCAAGGCTACTCACCACTCGGACTCTCCTGCCCATGGCCTGCGGGGGGAGGTTGGTCTTGAAGCGAGCCCTAACAGCACCGCTCTTCCCATGAGGCCTGGTCACCTTGCCCCAGATGACCCGCGTCTTGACGGCCTTGGTGTAGCCAGCTGGCCTCTTCTTGCTATATGGGGAATGAACGATATATACTTTTTGAATTATGCTTAAGTGAATTGTGCCAAGCGATTCTAACTAAAAATCCATATTTTTGGTAGGTTAACTTTCTGGTTAGTTTCATGCATCACTAAAATACCATTACACATGTACTTGGTCAACCATGCAATCAGTATAAAAGACTTTCACTTTGTCCTGCCTACTGCGAAAGGTCTACAAAACAGAGGAAATTTAAAATTTTCAAGAATTTGTTTTCTCCACTTGTAATGGTCTGCGTGAGAAGGGACTTGGCTATCGTGGGGCAAAGGTTCATGTCCGTTCACTCACTTCTTGGCCTTGTAGACGTAGGCACAGCGTTTGCCCAGGTACCAGTCAGCATCTTTGCGGTTCTCAACTCCCTCAATTCTCAGCAGTGCTGTGTTCTCGTACTGATTACGCAGGCCACGCTTGTAGCCAGTGAACACCGCCCTCACGTACAGTCTTGAAAAGGAAGCACAACAAAATTTGTCAGAATCAATGAAATTTAATTTGTATAGTAATTCTTATACACCTGTATTGTATAACTGTACACATCAATGGATGCAATTACCTGGTTGTGGCAACCATGATGTAACAGCCTCAAGTCCCTGAAATATAACCGAACAAAAACAAATTAAGCATATAATTATCAGTGGTCTAATTCTTCTGCCCCAAAAGGGCATAAAAAGCCATCAAAATCAATGACAAATCTGAACCCAGAACATCTTTGAAAGAGTTTCTAGGCCTAATTTTCCAAGTAAAACCACATCAAACGACTAATGTTGAAATCAAATCAGTATTTTTTACTGCACAATGATAGCTATTCATTTCGCTTTTATTTTTTAGACTAGCGATAGTATGATTCGTGAGATCGTCCGGCCACGACACGCTGATTGTGGGGGGGGGAACAGTATCATGCCAAATTTCCGGCCAACCTTTGTAAATCATGCCGCTCTTTGTCTTATTTTCTAAGGTAGACTCTGAAACGACACAGATTTTACTGAAGTGATATAAAACAATCGACCGCCCGCTTATTGGTTGAACGATGTATTTTGTCCGTGTGCGGATCATCCAACCACATAGATGACACACTGAGCACAAACCTTGACGAAGTGTATTTCTTATCTATCAAAATCCCTCTCAATTAAAAAACATCTTTAAATAGTTGGTCAATAAAATCGAAGAACAACACTTCATAAAAAGGTACCCTATTCTACTTTTCATCAGTACGCAGATTTAATGCTATTATTTTGTTCCTATTTTTGCAGAATGCAGTACCTCGCTAAGGGATTTTGTGGCCAAAACGGAAAGGACGATCTTACATTTGTTGGTTGGTCAAATGTTTTCTCCAATTAAGCAAAATATTATCGCCATTTTTGTTTATAAATGAATTTAGATTTGACAAATTTGAGAAAATTAGACCTAAAATTAGAATATATATATAAAGAGCATATATATTATAAATCTTTTATAAAACTGATTATAATTGTTTTAGAAGCCAACAGGTAAAGTATTATTTAAAATTGTGACGAAGCCTGAATTTTGACCTTTAACCTATAAGCCTGGAGACGGAAAACAACATATCAATAGCACATTTTGTGCTGGTGCTATGGAGCGAGCTTGAGTCCAGTCGAAACTGAGAAAGAGTACGGAAGTAGCGCAGTTCTGTTCCTTCCTCCATGGTTATTCTAAGTGGAATTCTTCGAAGAAACTTGATATCATGACATAAGTAACACAATGTGTGTGTAGTTTCTATCCTTTTGGTAAGGATTTTGTAATCATTATTGCTTTTGTATTTGGGGGAATATTACACATCATTGTCACTGATCGTTGAAAACCTGTCGAAGAAAAAACAAGTGAAAGTGTTGTTCCTGTTCATTTGGTCTGTGTTAAATGGAGCTGCAGTGTCTAACGTTACATGATGTAGTAAATGGCAATAAGCGTAGACAATGATGCAGCTGACTTGGCCAAGGAGTAAATTCTTAGGAAATAGTAAAGCTAGAAACTAAAATAAAATTCAAGATTTTGAAACTAAAAAAAGTATTAATTTGTACATGTCGATTGTTATAAGATACAACTTTAGTTGGTGAAGATGAGTTTGCATTAATAATTTAAGTAAAATAATTGAGTAAACTACAGTATTTTCCCAAATTAGGAGACTAGTTACAATGAAGTTTTTCTTGACTTCACAAGATATTGAAAAGGCTTAAAGGCCTATTTACAGCTTGATATATTCTTCATGGTTCTTAAGATTCTGCTATTGTTTTACCTTGTTTTCCTGTGAGTTTAGCAGTGGCGCCAATATACACAACCATGTCAGAGTTAACTGACCTGGACTCGGTCTATATTACCACGGTGCTGGAGGACACAGTGGACCAGCTAGCCATCCTTGGAAAGATTATGCCCCAGACGTTTGAGGGCAGAGCAGATGCAAGTGAGGTAAAACTCTGGCTTTGAGATTCAATTTGGATAGGGCCAAATTAAATTCCTGTTGCAATCCGAGACGTTTCTGAAATATGTTTGTTTGTCCATATGGGAAAGTTAAATCTTTCCCCCAAAACATCAGACCCACTGGCTGTGTATAGTTTGAATGAATCCTTACACTGGTGAAACTCTTTCATTTTTAAGAATTTGCAAGTAGTCTTTAAAGCAACCCCAACCTAATAAGTAGTGTAGCATGAACATAACTTGTTTTATACTTTGGTAACAGATGGTGGGAGATGAAATTGGTAAAATCATAGACAGCCAGAAACAATTGGAATCCAAGTACGAGGGCCTGATTGCCAAGAGGGCAGAGCTCCGAGCCGGTGGCAGAAAGGGAGATGCCAACCACCTCAAGGCGACCGAGGAGGAGATCAGCAGTGTGGTGGGTGGGATCCGGCACGCCACACAGACTTTCAGCAAGAGCCTGAAGCAGAGCCCGTTGACGTCGGACAACTTGGCCAAGATGCAAGTAGACAGGTAAGGGTGTGATAGACTCTCTGTCATTGTTATGCCTGAAATGACAGCATCTGTCCCACACTAGTTGGGACAGTACTGAAGTCGGGCATAACGTAGTCACTGAGCCAGGTAATAAAAGCCAGTAATCTACTGAAGGGGATATGAGCCCACAACTCGCTTAGCTTAGCAGTGTCTCAGCTAACCAGTCAAGCACACTGGATAATGACAGCTGGTGTTGATCTGGAAGTGGACCTCATATTGTATTTTTTGAGCCAGGAAAATTACACCAATAAATTGATATGGAAATCATATGATAGGGCCGACAGATGTTGTTTTGTAGATCTGGTGATGTCAGGAGAGGTAGTTGGTACTTTGAAAGATCAAATATTGTCCCTTTGTTTTTACTTACGTCGGTGAGAGAATATTTGATCCTTGTCTCAAAAGACCTGTCAGTTGTGATTTTTTTTTCTTAGTGGTTTAATATTATTGTCCTTACCTTGAAATTTAGGCAGTTCCTCCAAGATGTCTTGTCGGAGGCCATGGAGGAGATTACCCTTGAGAAGACGTTCACGAGTCTCATCCAGTCAGTCACAGCAGAGCGAGACAAGAAGGCAGAACTACAAAACACCATCCTCAAGTGAGTGACAGGTGGAAACAAAATTGCACAAGGCCAAGTCTGAAGAAGCTTCCATGTGCTGTCAAGAAATGGTCTCATTCTGAGAGTTCAGGTCTCTTGAATTACAAACATGCCAAAATTTATGTTAGCTACTCGACCAAGAACTTCTCAGTCAAGAACAGATGCTGTTGAGGTCTGCAGGTAGCCTTTTGCCACTGGGGAACGCTTTAGACACAAATATGCGCGTTCTTAATCACAAGTACACTGCAATGCCAAAAGATGAAGCTGGCTCTAGGCAAGCCGTGGGCCTCCTCTGGACCAATTCCCACTGGAGCTCCACAGGAGATTCTCGTCCAAATCTTATGAGGGAATCGCACACTCCTCCCCTCCACTGCCTTGTGACCCGTAACCTCACCCCGTCTTTATTTTCCCCTCAGGGAGGAGGAAGGACGTAAGCGCATCCGCAGCCTCCAGCGCCAGATCCAAAATGTCAAGGTGGAGTTGGAAGAGGAGACCCAGCAGCGGAATGAGATGATCGCCCACCTCAAGGACCAGCTGCAGGAGATGAAGGCCAAGACCAGTATGGAGGGCAAGTATGTGCAGAAGGATGCCGAGGTGGCCGTCTACCAGGTGCAGAAGAGGTGCATGCTGAGCGAGAAACAGCTCAAGGATGAGATTGAGGTGAGCTTGGGGGACTTTGGGGTCCTAAAACTGAGTCTTGGTTCTGTGGTGGGTATCGGTCAAGTGATCCTGTGGAACCTTTTCCTTCTCATGTGAGATATACCACGGTCTTATGCATTCTTGTGTATTAGGTCTTGAATAATTCATGAAATTTGTTGGAATTCTTTGATTGGCAGCTCATCAAGAAGAAGATTGATGAGGAGATTCGCGTCAACCAGGAAATTGAGCAGTACCTCAAGGCACATCAGACGGTAAGAGATGCTTACGTTAAAACCATGGGGGAAGATGTCACAAGTTAGCCAGTGAGCTAGTGTGTAAACACTGCATAATCTTAGTGCCAAAATATTGGTCTCTAACTCACAAGCACGAGTGTTGAGTTTGCCTCAAACTGGTTTACACATGCAGTCAGTTTTCTCAGTGATGGTAAAATGTTGAATCCTCATTGAGTGTGCTGAACTCTGCTGCAACTCTTGTCATATGATAAACTTGGTTATGAACCTTTAGTGGTTTGGATAGAGACTGTGACAATTTTCAAGACTGCTCAACGATGGGCATGGTTTCCCACTGAGTGGAGCAACTGGTACTCTGTCCTGAAGGTTGTGGGTTCATACCTCGAGTGAGCTGATTTTTCTTGAAATAGGTGTGTGCTTCACTTTGTGTTCTTGTGCAGTTCATTTGAGCAATCCAAAATGCCTTGATGTTACATTCACCTTGGATTTTTTGTCTTCCTCATTGCTTTCCAGGAGTTAGAAGAGAAAGTTGATTACTGGATGGAGAAGTATGACAAGGATGTTGACCAGAAGACCCACCAGCTGGAGGTGCTGAAGGCCTCCAAGGCCAATGACCTCTCCAGACTGCAAGAACTCACCAGGCTGGTAAGACCATACCCCCTCTGAGCTCAATCATCTCGGTAGCATGTTGTAGCTAGAGGGTGTCTGAATTTGTCTTTCCGAGCTGAATGTTGGGTTCAGAAAATTGGTCTCTGGACATTTAATTTTAGCTTTGCTAAGTTTTAGATTAGATTTAAATTGTTCAAAGGAAATGCATTAAGTACAGCTAAACCTCAGTTTTCTTCAGGCTGGGAGCAAGAGTGCTTAGGGTGCTTTTGAGGAACTCTTGGTATCATTACCAGAAATGGTAAATAAAATAAAAACTTCAAACTTAGTAACTTCACCCCATTCGTTTTTTTTAATAGCATTGTCAAAAGTTTATTTTTTGCAGTGTACAGGTTTTGCCTTTGTTATGTGTGAGTGGCAAATTGGCTGGGATATGCACACTTCACCCATAATTGTGCCCGTCTTGTGGCAATTATTTTGTTCATTAATGACAGAGCTTAAACGTTAGTGGGTCTTACATTGCCACCGAAAAATATTCTGTAAGAATTGAAACGTCAGGTCCCTCTGACGTGAAGCCGTGTCTGTTTCAAATCACTCCAATAAGATGTTTGAAACAGCTTTTCTGTTCGTTATTTCCCGCATTGAAGATTTAGCTCATGGCAATTCTGCTTTTGGGTGGGCAAGAGCATTCACAAGTGGAATTTTTTCTTTCTTTGGTCACAGTATGCCGAGTATGAGCAAGTTGTTGTTGAAGACAGAATAGAGAAGGAAAAAATCCGAAGATTACAGGAACAAGAGCTGGAGGAACTCAAGTCGACGGTCAAGGTAAGAGAGACTCGGAGTTCCCACCCCACCGAACAAGCCACCTCAGATCTTGATGGGAAACGCCTGGATTTGTTTGGTTTGAGCTCTGAATTTGCAAAAACTTAAGCTAATGTCAGAGTTTGAAAGTACAGGGTGTATAGAATGCTTGGTTGAGTACTAAGAATTTCTTGGGGGTGTCTTCCTTTTTTCAACTTGCAGTTACAGTCCTGGTGGCGTGGCATTATGGTCCGTCGGCAACTTGGCCCCTACAGCAAGAAAAAGAAGAAGAAAGGGAAGAAAGGAAAGAAGGGATCCGGCAAGAAAAAAGGAAAGAAAAAGAAGTAGATGTGTTGGCTTTTTCTTTAAGGTTTGCCCCTGTATATACCACCACTTGTATTGGTACGTCACAGTCAGGGATAATTGTAAAAAATTCTGCAGATGGAAACACTGTGAAGATAAGACAAGTGTAAAAAATGGTGAAGATGCGCTGCTGTAGTCATCCCATGACATACCAACCTAGAGTTTGGGGAATATTTTGAGCCATTGTTGATTGTGAAATTGAAATGAATATTTGCTGATGCGTGCTTTTCAATTTTTATCCAAATCCTGTTTTCAGTAGTAAAACCGTCCAGTTGTGGCTCGTAGCTGAGAAGTACAGTGCCTTTGTGTATTTAGTTCAGGTGCATTATTTCAATACCGTACCGAGTCTAACATCACATTTCACACTTTTCACAGAAGAAACGGGAGAAAAAAATGTGTATTTTAAAATCTATTTGTCTTGAAGTTTTACAAACTTAATTTGGGGAATTGAATCGTTTGTGGAAATTTTGTAATAACTGATCAGTTGAAGTTATGATGAGTCTGAAGTTTTTATATAAAAAACATTGTTGTTATGCATTAATTTTGTAATCTTACCTTTCCGTCCATTAAAACAGCTGTATTCTAATGAAATTCTATTTTTCCATTCAAAGTTTATGACACTGGATTTGAGCTAAAAAAGTTGTGATTGCCTGTTCAGAAAACTGATCTTAGATGTTTTAGAACAGGTTGAACTAAAGTATCTTCAAGTCCTTCCTCCATGATTAAAGCTGCCAAGTATTCCCGAATTTACTTTCAGTTTGATTGTCTCTGAGGTCTCGTGCATGTAAAAGATAATATGGGAATTTGTTTTATTTCTTTTGGTCTGCACGTTGCTCTGCATGATGGTGAAATAAGTGTCAGTAAATGAACGTGAAATGACAGGATGGCATTTTCCACAATTTTATCTCCAATTTTCTGAGCAGAAAGGGGAAGAAATGGGTTGCAATCTTTTCGGGGGGGGATAATGAAACGCAGAGATCTTAGTATTTGAATCTTTGTAGCTTGAATATGAGTTTATTTTTTATTCTTTTTTCTGGGGGGACAATTTATTGACAAGTTGAAACCAGCAGACAAGGATAGAGGGCGCTGTGATGCTGGTTTAAATGAAAGTGCATCCGAATCTGTTGTCTAGAGTTACGGTTTTCGCTCCATTGGAAATGTACGGATACACGTCACAATAGACCTAGCCGTAGCTCAGTAAGCCCGTTTCGGATATTGCTAAAAAAGTGATACTCGTAAGGTGGCGCTGTAACCTTTTTTTTGTCAGGCGTATTTTTATAGAGGGCGCTATACACGTGATTACTGTCAGAGGGAAACTTCAAAAGAGGGCGCTATAACATACTTAGCAGCGCCCTCTTTTGGTTGCTGAATTCTGCGTAAAAGTGGAATACCGCCCCCTACGTTGCCTTTGAATGTTTACCAAATTGGAAATAGCGCCCTCTATAAGAATGAAATGTCCGTCACTGTTGTGGCATGGCGCCCTCTGCTGCCAAGCCCTTTCCGGGATGTTTTTTTTTCAGATAAATTTTTGTCAATTCCGCTTATCAAAATGGCGGTCCCCGTTTCGCACCACTTAGGAGGGGCCCAATTGCGGTCTTTAGAGAAGGTCCTAGATGATGCTCACATGACTGGAATATTGAATTTAAGCGGTAGGAATATGAGGGATTTTCCCAAGAGTGCGGACAACTTTGATCTGATGGATACAGTGGACGTAGGTAAGTCAGAAATTTGAACGGCATTCGGATCGATCAAACAAGACAGGTTGACATGGGACGAAGTACATGTAGTCCGGCCCCAGGACTAGGCTATCACAGAATGCCAATACCACTCAAGACATCATGACTATAAGACATATTTTACTCTCACGTTGCAACTATGATGCTGTCAAGTATGTTCAAATGATTTACACCGTGTAATGCAGGGAAATCAGATGACAACTGTAGAATTGAGTGTTGCTCCCAAATACTTGCCTTTGCCGAACTGCATGCCAGTGTACACTTACAGTGTACCCTCGCTGAGCCCTACTAAGCTGTTTCCATCACTCATGTTTGTTGGATGTGTTTGGTCAGTGTTATACGCGATCATTCGATCTTTGCCAATGAGTCAATATTCAGGATCTTTGCACAGTTCTTGATGACATGGATGACTGCACCATCAGCCAATTGCCATTTTTTTAATTCACGGTTGTGAAAGCTTTTTGGAATGAGTTCCATATACGGACAACACTTGAGGCTCTGTTCACAAACCTATGAGACTTGTTTGAAAAGGCCAAAGTATTTTCTAAGTATATGCTTTGGAATTTTCTCAGCTAAATCTCACTTTTTAGCACATATTAATACTTTTTGACAGCTGCTATAGCATTTTAAGGGGAAAAGAAGTGTTTTCTCTGTATGGAACTCTTTCCGATTCTTTCAAAAAAGAGAAGTTAAGTTGGAGATTTCATACCTAATTGACCAATCACAGAGCAATCAGGTGATAGTGCTGACTAGCCAATTATTCCCAACACATTAATTGAATTCATTGCATCCAAATAATGATGTACTGCTCATCATGTACAGACTAATAGTGATATAAAGCCTCTTAAATGGTTTAATTGATTCAGTTGTGTCAGTGTCTTACACGTTTTGTAATTTGAAGGAATGTACGTTTGATGTTTTGGTTTATTCAACGTATGGAAACTTAAAAGTGCAGATCAGTGATCCTGTTAGAAATCTTTGACTTAAATCTTAATCACATGTTTACACGGTTTTAAAGAAATCGGAGAAAGAGAGAAAAGGTGATTGTTCCTGAAGAGCAACTAAAATGGCTGCCATGAGTTGATTGCACCCAGTATGGACATATCCACGGTTTTCATGATTGTGAGTTAGTCCTAAAATTATGTGGATGGATGTACTGATTTTGCTTCCCTAAAATGTTACAATGTCACAATTTCCTGAAGTTTATCAGGATCTACTGAGAGTTCTCCTGGTTCTGTGTGGTAGATTTGTCAACTAATTAATTTTTTTGGTACAATCTGAGTCTTTCTTGACAGTATTTAAAGAATCCAGTTAATTTCTTATGCTACTGAATTCAAATGTTTCCATTCAGTGTATACTGACTATTCCTAGTGACTGAGTGTCGGGAAAAGACTTCAGAAACCCTCCCTCTTCAAAAAACAGTTCCCTTTTAATCATTTTGACAGATCACCACCTATTAACAAACTGACAAGCTGTGAGGGAAGTCTTGACCTCTTGTCTATGGTTCAACTGAAGGACTATTGTTGTGTTATTTCCTGGAATTTAACCGGCCGTCATTCATAGTCTTTCTGTTTGTACCACTGGAAAGTTGTTAAAAGCCAGACTGTGCAGTCCCTCAAGTTTTTCTTTACAAATTTCTTTTTTTCTGACCTAAGTTCAACTATGCACCTACTCGTTTGTAAAAGGATAAAGTGAGTTCAATGGAATATCTGTTGTAGTTATGGTGCCAGTGTTATTGTAAGATCCACACTGTCACATTGACAGATGTACCCAAGCAACTAGTACATATGCACAAAGCATGTATGCACAATTGTTACAAAGGTTGAAAACAACTTTAAAGGAATGCTTAACTTTATGCGTAAAACTTGTCCGAGTCTCTTTTGAAGGGGTGCTTACTCGTTCAAATGGGGTACGGCCATTTAATGAAAGTTTTTTTGAAATTCTCCTGGGAATGAGTGACATTTTGTTACATTTGTGCCTGGCAGCAGGACATTGAAGTAAAATGAGGTCATCTCTTTTGTAGTCTTAACAGACAAATGTACATTGATTTGCAGGAGCTTCCATGTCATGTGTGCATTGATTTTTATGTCGGGCCTATTTGTATCATTTTTCAAGGCCCTGTGGTACATGTACTTAAAAATGATTGAAGTGCGACAACACCACAGCCCAATCTTCCCGATATGATTATTTCTTCAACCTGGTAACCTCAAAAGCAGTAGAAATAAAGGGAACCAATTCAGATCATCACTGATCACAAGGATGGATCCAGGATTACATGTACATGTACATTTTCGGGTGGGTCAAACCTTTTTCTGTGGGAGGGGGGGACGAAAAGTTGTAAATATTTTGTTGTACTGGTAGATGTGATTTATTAGGGATGATGTTGGTCATACATTTGGGGGCTTTTACACATTTTTGAAAGGAAGAGAAATGAAGGGCACACACAAATAAAATGCAGAGAGACCATCAAATAAATAAACAAACAAATCCCGTTTCTTTGCATCATGTTTTGGCTTTTTGTGGGGGTGGGGGCATGGCCACCTGGGCACCTTCTCCTCTCCCCTCCATCTGCCCGTATTCTTGACAGATGATATTCTTGCAATGTACAGGCTTACGTACTTTCAATCTTAATATATGGTTAGTTGAAAACAGGGAACATGTGCATGCACATGTTTGCCTAATATGGTGAGCGTGTGTTCATTGTAGTGAGTTGTACTGAATTTCTAGTACATGTACATAAAATCTGCACATTATTTCGCTGGTCTGTCCAAAGATGAGCCCCATCAAAATTCCAATGATACGGCCCTCCCAGAAAAAAAACGGAAATTAAATATGCATGTAAATAAATAAACCTGCCCTCTCGTTATCAGTCAGTTTGTTGACTTGTGTAGGGGCAATTTAAGAGCTGCACACCAAACTGTTTAAGTAAATATTGCTGGCCTATGTACATGACTCGATTACAGTGCATGGTGAACTTTGGATCTTGTGTGTCAGTTCTTATGTGGTAGCCCACATGAGTAATGATATTCAGTGGTGGGAGGAGGGGGCGTGGCCAAGATATACAGTGCTTCGGCCTTTTGTAGAAGGTTGGCTTTCAGTTTGCAGGCGTTTATTTACTTTTTGCTCATCAAATTCCTGTCACGGACATTTGTCATTTCTGTAGTGTAATTATGAAATTAACAATGTAAATTGAAAACATCTGTTGTGGCATGTACAAGTATAAACAATACAGACTGCATAAAAAAGGTCAGATATTGTCAGTGAATTGTCACAGATGAGGGGGTCACAGATAGGAATTCTTATTTTGAATGGAGAGTAATTTTGTTGACTTTAGCCATAATGAAACCTAACCATTATTAAGAATTAGTTGCATTTGCAGACATAATTTAATCATATTGATATAATTAGATTAGGGTAATGTCCCTAATTGGACATAAATTAAAATCCTCTTTCAAGTTTCAGGTTGTTTGAAATTGACAAATTAAAATCCAAGTCATCAAATCCATGATGTCAAGTTTCCAAAATGAAAGATGATGTAATTCCATTGCGATGACGACAGACAGACATCCAGATGGCCGGCGGGTGTTAAGTTGATGTGAGTCGTGATGGTGGATAATATGCCTGGTACTCGGTAAGAGCAAGAGCTGTTACCTGGGTTCCATTGCCGTCATAGGGTGTTTCCCCATTGCCCATGAGTAATCGTGGAGGCATGTGTTAAACCAAACAGAAATATTCATGTGCTGGTCCAACGTGTACAGTGTATGTGCTGATGCCATGTGTGGTCTGTGTTGGCATGTGTTTGCAGACCGTGTTGGTGGTGTTTTGACTAGACAACCAATTATGTCAAATTTGTGGCTGGCAAGTTGTTTTTTTTTGGTTGGTGTCTTTTGTGTTCAAATTCCATTCATTTATCTTAAAGAAGATCAAGTACTGTACTGTAAAGATAGTAACAGCACCTATTACGCTAATTGTATTAAAAGAACTTCTTTGAAGTGACAGATTTATTTACATAAAACAAACATCAATCAGAGTTTAAGGAAATTAGCTGATGTTAACAATGAGATGTTGATTTTCTTTCATACATTCCAAAGAATAATAAATACAGCTAATTTTTAAAGCTTTTTTTATCACAACTCCAGCAAAAATGTAATTATAACAGGAAAGATTTTAACAAAATTGAAGAATTTTTTGAAGACATCTCATCTCAGTGAACTACATCACTTCATGACAATATAACCAGCAGAAATTCTAGTCAAGCAATAAAAACAGCAATTATGATATGAAGGGGGAAAAAAAAGAAAATGACTGCATTGCCGCCCTGTTTGATGTCTGTTCATTGTTGTTATGACAGTTTGGAACAGCCAGTGGGTCATGGCAACCATGAATGTATCCGTCGTGTCAGTAGGCCTCTCTTCATCAATTTAGCTCCGTGGAAATTGAATTAATATGACAGTATATTGAATTACGGGACTTGTGTTTCTGAGGAAACCATTGTCCCAGGCTTTTTTTTGTGTGTTTTCAATATTTGGGATCAGATAGTGGCCAGTTGTTGATTGCATGGCTTCAGCCAATCTTTGAAAATATTGGTTGTCAAAATTTGCTGGAAAAGGAAAAAAAGGATGTTAGGAAGATCTACCGGTGCACATCTACAAGTGTTACGATGCACTGGTGGTGTCAATGTGACACCAAGTAACACCAGTGGTAAGTGCTGGTGTGGTCCTCTGATAGCACCAAGGGTGTCGGGTTTGACACCCCAGTTTTGGCAGTGTGGTGTACTTGTTATTTAATCCATATTGTCTTTTCAATTAACCTCCCAGGCAGTGTTCCTGTTGCCTTTTTTATGTTTTACATTTGTCTTAGTTGGTGTACTATATTGTGTTACTTATCTTTTATATGAATTACCTGAATTGTAAATTAGCAATAATTCAGCCATATCTTATGTCTGTGAATGCTAATTACTTACTAAACCAATAATAATA